TCTTTCTCTACCGCTCTTTCTTTCACACACTCGCTCTCACCATCTTTATCTTCGTCTCCCTCTTTTGCTCTCTTTGCCCCCTATCTCATTCCCCGTCTCTTTTCCTCGTACTCTCTCTCTCTCTCTCTCTCTCTCTCTCTCTCTCTCTCTCTCTCTCTCTCTCTCTCTCTCTCTCTCTCTCTCTCCAGCTCGTTCTCGCGGCGCACGGGTCTCGAGCAGCAGCTTCTTTAGCGTTCCATTACCGGCGTTCTATGGAATGCATCGGTCTCTCGCAACACCTACGAAGACGAGGTCCGCGGAATCGGACCTTAAGCCCTCGGAAATGAACGGCGAAGCGCCGCTGAGATTATTGCCGCCGCTTCTCTCCTAGTCTGGCCGTCCTCCGTGCCGTGCCTCCCGTCGATCGTGTCCGCGTTTCGGCGGCCGACTCGTCAGGATGCATGATGTCGACGAACGTGTTGACTGCCGATCGTACGTCGTGCCAAGGGAACGATGACTCTCCGGGTTGGCGTTGCGCTTCGCGCGTTTAAACATGCTCCGGTCGAGCGGTACGCCTCAAAGTGCTTTAATTATAGGCATTATCGTTAACGAGGGACCCGTTATACTGGTTATTGTCGGCAACGCGTGACACACTTTTCTCCCCGCGCTGTAAAATACAATCGGCGTTTCGTTACCGAGGCAACGGGTAAAACGCGTTGGACCGCGCGCGCGTTTATTTTTAACGGTACCGGACAAGTCGACTTTCTTGATCCCTATCAATCGTCCTTCTACGCCGCTCTAACGTCGATTCGCACGCCAATGATCCCGATCTGCGCGGCTGATTTCGCTCCTCCGACTCGCCGGATTCAAAGATACAATCCTCATCGGGAGCGAGAAAGAGAAACTACCTCGCGACGTACCTTTGATTACATCGACGGCAAATATCCGCACGAGTACCGGCGATATCTCATTATAAACATTCCCGAGAGAGAATGCCAATAACGTCAAAATGGAGACTCGTCAAGACGTTTCCGTAAGACGATCGTGCTCATCCTTGGCGCGATAATTGACACCTATCCCTCGTGCTCGGCGACTACGCGGATGAAAATGGGTCAATCAACGACGAGAAGTTCTCCGCGCTCGCGCGGGCATTACCGAGCGAGACACGGACTATTTCAGTCCCGCGGGCGATTGTACTGGCCTAGCCGTACGGTGGTCTATGGTGGTAGAAGTGCCGTCGGCGGTCGCTCGGTGATGGTGAGCGGATCGCCTTGACGAGAAAATCACGTGGCCGCGGGAAATGACTTGTTATATAAACTAATGATTATCCCGGTACTTGTGCATTGCCGCGTCTAATCCGACGACTGTCCACTGTGTGTCGGTCCACGGCCGTCGCTGGTCCACAGCCTGGTCACGACGTGTCTCTCTCTCTCTCTCTCTCTCTCTCTCTCTCTCTCCCTCCCTCTCTCTCTCTCTCTCTCTCTCTCTCTCTCTCCCTCCCTCCCTCCCTCTCCCTTTCGCATATCTAGCCACCGTTCGCGAAGATAACACCCCTGAGCAAATCGCGAGCGATCAGCGGGTCGCGATCCGACCGCTTTTCGATCGGGAAAGGCCATAGGATCGGCGTACAAGGATAACCGCAGATATTATTGTAATGTCCTTCTCTTGTTCTCTTTCCATCTTTCGTACCGCTACCGCGGTCTCGCTACTTCCGCTGAGAGGTACGCGGGGGCGGCGTTCGAGTTGGCTGTCGCGATACGCACCGCGAGAGTAAACCGATCGACGCGTAATCTGGGGCAGCGAAATGCGACCGGAGGGTCTAGGTCTCGCGCGAGAGCCTCGCGAGAAAATCGACGCGGGGCACTCGCGGTGCTCGCTCGAGTGCACGACCACGGGTGGTGGCGTAGAGGTGACGCCACGAAAGTGGGTCAACGTCGACGTGGGCAAGCATGCCTGAGAACCAAGTTCAGGGGCAAACGCTGCAGCGCCATACCCGAAGCCACAGACTTCCCCTGGTGCCTTAGGTTAGGCTTCTCTCTCTCTCTCTCTCTCTCTCTCTCTCTCTCTCTCTCTCTCTCTCTCTCTCTCTCTCTCTCTCTCTGCCTCCCTTTCTCCGTCTCTCTCTCCTGTTTCCTTCTTTCTTTCTCCTGTCGGCACGTGTACGCGTATGCACGCGCGGACTGACCTCTCGCTCTCTCTTTCTCCCGACGAGAGAGAATGTAAAAGGGAGGAGAAAGGGAGAGAGAGAGAGAGAGAAACCACGGGAGGCGGTCTAACGGATTCTCTGCTCTGGTCTGCCTAGTTTTATTTTTCCGACCCAAGCTTGGCCATTCGTCCCGTCCCTCTCTTGTCCTCCGTGGACCCTCCCTCGCATGCACGCACGCGTGCGTGCGTCCGGGCGCACGTGTTGGTTACAAGTGCACACCCGAAGGAGGGAGAGAGAGAGAGTGATTGTATCTTCCCGCTGACACTCCTCTCATTTTCTCTTTCTCCGCGTTAGCCGATCTTGGCCTAGGTCCCGCCGCCGACGCCGTCGTCGCCGTCGTATGCCCGCTCGAGAGTGCTTTCTCCTGAGCAAACTGGCGTTTCATGACACATTTTCGGCTGAACTTGGCCGAGAAACGAGCGTGCTGGAAAGTGTAAGTGAAACCCTTCGCTCTCGAATAACAGTTCCTAGTCTCGACGTGTACGTTCGACGTACGTTCCACTTCGGCCAACCGACACGTCCGTCTTCGGCTCGGAGGCGTACGGTGACTCGCCGAAGCCGGAGGCCGATCATTTTTCGAGGCTTCCGCCGGGAGCATTAACCGAGGGGATATGTGGAGGTGAGCACGTGTACCTCTTTCATTTCGCCGTCGCGCGATCAACATTGACGAAATTGCCGAAAGAGCCCGGCTGTCGCTCCTCTCGCCGCGCCGGTTCATCCCGATACGTCGAGGACCTTTGATCGCACTTCGTCCTTCGATGGCGCGTGCGTATTGAGAACGCAAACGTCCCACGAGTCTCGCTCGCTTCGGACTTGCTCCTTCTCGGAAAGCTGCGTAAGACGCAGCCACCCACGCGAGGACCAGCACGAATCGTCGACCGGAACGCTTCCTCCTCGCGCGATCGTCGCTCGCGAATTCATCTCTGAGTTCACGTCGATCGCGGTGACAGCCGCGAGCTATGTCCGCGTCGAGATTACTCACGACAGTTCTGCCTCGGCTCTCTCTCTCTCTCTCTCTCTCTCTCTCTCTCTCCCTTCCCCCCCTCCTCCTCCTCCTCCTCCGCCTCTCCGTTCTTCTCGAATTCTCTCTCGCTCCTCCGCAACGGCGCAAGGAAGACAGGAGGGAAAAAAAGAGGATCGCGCGAGTAAGGTGACCTCGACGAAATCGTTACGAAGGCCGTCCGGTGCGCGCGAACGCTCGCGCGAACGTTATTACGCTCGTTGTAACTAGCAGTCGGAAGATATATTATATTGATTAGCGATAAAGCGTGCGCTCTCGCTCGCTCCGGCGAGAGCGAGCACACGCGACCGTAGTGTAGACAGGTAGGCTGAAGGTGGATAGGTGGCCGGCCTCAAGTAGACAGGATGTAGGTAGGTAGCCAACGGGTCACTCGGCCTGTCTGTTTTACGTCCTCGTGCACACGCACGCACGCACCTACGGTGCATTCGCGCGCACACACACACACACACACACGCGCGCGCGCGCGCGCGCTTACCTACGACTCCGGCTCGAGGCAGCAAGTGGGAATGCCTGTCGTCGAGGTGTGTGAGTTTGGACGACGAATCCGCGAATCGCGAGCGAGAACGATAAGTCCCGCGCGTCCGTCGCGCGACAGGAACGCGACGGGCGCTTTCGATTTCCGGCGCCCAACGCGGAGCACCGGAAGCTGTGGGACGTTGTGGGAGCCGGGCTCGGCCGGGCGCTGATCGCCGTTGGTACACGTGCTCGCGCGCGAGAGCGGATCGTCCCTGAGGATACGCGATCGCTTCGCCAGGGCGTGGTTTCCTATGCAGTTTTTGCCTACCTAGAATGCACTAGACGGCCTTCGCTGAGATCAGGATATTCTCCGCCGCTCGTTTCTGTCCCTCCTTCCTCCGCCCGCTGCGCACCACCTGCTGCACCCACCACGCGCGCTGCACCCCCGTGCGAACGTCCACCTTCGTCCGACGTGTGCTCCGAATTTCTCCCGATACGTGCGATACGTTTTAATGAACTGAAAAAACAGAATAAGAGAGGGACGAACGAATACTTATTTATTCGATGCTAATGGCGCATTTAATGTTATACTGCGATTTAATTGAAAGATTGATTTGCTGACACTAATATTTCTCGCTTCGCAATGCGTGATAATTTGGCACGCAAGCAACGAGTGCCCGATGAGCAAGCCTGCTCTTGCTCAACTCTCGGGAATTTTCTCGCCGGTCCATCGACCGTGTTCGAAGCGCTGCGTCGACGAAAGATTTGTTTAATTAACGCACGCGGGAGGGGAACATCTCTTTGGCAGAGCGAGCGAAATGTCCCTATCGAGAAACGTCGAAGCGAAGCGTGCTGAAACCGAGTGTTGCACATCAGGCTACTCGTTGTGGCGCATCGTGATTTATCGCGAAACGGAAAAACCGGTGTATGCGCCGTATTTGCATCGGCGCGCATTTGCATCGCGCGCGTGCGGGAGAGGGAGAGAGACAACGACAACGACGACGGCGGCGGCGGCGGCGGCGACGGTGGCGGCGGCGACGACGACGGTAGGAAGGGAGCGCGAGAAATAGGTACTGTTGTTACGGTATTATTTCTGCCGGGGCGATACACAAATAGATGGCCGGACGATAAAGCGAGATCGCTGACATAATCTCGCACGGCTGTTAATTACACTCGCCGTGCTAATACCGTTTTTTTATTCACGTCGCGTACGTTGCACGTTGGCGTGTTGGAGCGCCGTGCGCGCGCGCAATGTGTAGTCCCGCTGGTACATTATTATTAATGCAAGCCTGTCGTCTGTTTCTCGCTAACAAAGTCGCTTCTCATTCGCTGTTTCAGGAAATCACGACCAGCAACGACATCACTGCCGTCGAGCAGCCTCATCGTCACTCGCCATCCCAGCCGAGGAGGAGACGCGACGACGACGGTGCGGCCGCCTCAACAACGTGTGGGCCAGGAGGACACCATTGGGAACCTTGCACTGCCATGGAAATTCGTCACCTAGTCGCTTTTTTTTACTTCTCTCCTTCAACTCGCTCGCAAACGATCGCGCGATTCTCGAGCACGGAACGCGGACGCATCCGGCTGGAGAGGTCGCCGCCGCCGTGCGTCTCGAGCCGCCGACGTAGCGACACGAGAGAAAGAGGGAAGGACAGAGAGAGAGAGAGAGAGAGAGAGAGAGAGAGAGAGAGAGACAGACGCTATTTTTCTTCCTTTTCTTTTTCCCCTATCCTTGTATTCTCTTATATCTTCTCGTATATCTTTTATGTTCTCTTTTTGATTTGTTCACTCGCAGTAAGACATATAGCGGCCGTTCTGTTCGTCACCGGACGGGACACAAACCCGTAATATTTTACTCTCTCTCTCTCTCTCTCTCTCTCTCTCTCTTTCTTTATTCGACGCTACTTTATCGCTATTATCACACCGCTTCAGCGCTACCACTAGCAGCCCGCTACTTCCAGCACTGTCCGCCACCGGTCAAGACATTTGCACGCGCGAACATCGCGCCATTACCGTTATCGCTACACTATCACCGCCGTCGCGACTAATACACGACGGCTGCCGTTACCGTATCGTTTCTCTGTTGTCTCGAGCGAGCACCGACGATGTTGGTGCTGTCGGTCGCACTGCGTGCTCAGCTCGGGGAAACGGTACGGATTAACCGATTGTTCGCGGATACGCCGTTTCTCTTCGCTCTTTGGTGGCATTCCTTACGAGATGTCGCGCCAATTGGCGAGCAACGCGTTCCATCCACACCGACGAATTTTCCGACGAAACATTTACGTTAAGTTAGTTACGCACGGAACCATCGACGAAGGCTCTCCGTAGGAAGAGGGACAGTCTCGTTGGTGGTTCCGACGATTGAAAGGGGATCCAAAGGGTGATGGGAGAAAAATCTGGCGACGAGAATCGGACGTTCCGTTAAAAAGCGAAACCTCGGCGAAATAGATAAACATGCCAGGATCTGATTTTCAATTGCTTCGGGCCGACTCCATTTAGATATTATAGTAACATTGGTATAATAGATGTAATGTTAAAATCTAAGTAATTTTGCGAGAAAAAAGACACTGCCGAAAACTAAGCGAGCGAACTCATCGCCGGGCTACTTTGCGTCCGAACAGACCAAATTTGTAAGCAAATCCGAACTCCAAAATACCCTCCGCGGGTACACTCCACATCGCTCGATTTCCAGCGAAATCCAGCCGACACCGGGAGAATCGACCCATTGGCATTTATCATGTGTACCGAATTCTTTGTAACGAAAGGAATATAAACTCCACGAAATTTGCCTTGCGTATTTCCTAAAAGAAAAAAAAAAAAGAAAAAAAGATTGAAAACGACAAAATCCTCCCGCCCGAGCCCCTTTGAGAAAAGAGAAAGAAAGGAGGACGATTCCCGGGAGAAGCGTCCCGGACAGGAACAGAAACGTCGTCTCGTGTGATCGTTTCCCTCGACGAGCTCACCACCGAGGCAGGCCGGACGGCCACCTCCGACGATGTCGTCGGCGAGGTGGTGATCGGCGCACCGCGTGCATCGGTCGCGCGTTGCGTTTGCACACATCGCCACTTTCTGCCCGGCGATGTCGCAACGCGGACGCACGATCCGCGCGTTTCTCGAGCCACGACATCGCGTACCTTGCATTCCTCGCATAGTAATACATTGCGCTCGGTGCGCGAGCTCGTCGCGATTCGCCCGCGAGCTCATTCGTTCGCTCTTCGCCGAGCGACCGAATACGCGCGATGCACGCGTGCGACAGACTCGACATGCACACGCACGCACGTACACACACACACACACAGACACATACATGTGCGTACACGTCCACCTTCCCCGAGCCACCCACACATTCACGCACACGCACCGAGACATTTTAAAGCTGGATTCACACTATCCGTTCGGGCGACGGCAAGCACGAGCTCCGTCGAGCCTCCGTCGATTTTTTTCTTTTTCAACAAGAACCATTAGGCCGTGATAATGACGAATATCGTGAATTCTTCGACGAAGAATCGACGGAGTCTGTGCCTGTCGCCTTCTAAGACGGATCATGTGAAATCAGTGTACATGAGCCGCGCTCCTCCGCGAGCGCGTGTTTCTTCAATCTACGTATATGTGTACGAGTTACCGTATTTCTCTTAATTACCGCACGCACCGATCGAATTAGCGCATAGGTGAAGAACGCGTACATTCTATTTCCCCTTTGTGCCCCTTATTGCCCTAATTATTATTCTATTTTTATCTCATCCCTCTTACCAATCTTATTATTTTTATAGTATTATATTATTGTGTATTATTATTATTATTATTATTATTATTATTCTATTATTATTATTATTATATTATTATTGTTTTCCATTGTTATTAGTTAAGTGTTTCTGGACTCTTTTTCTCGCCGCTCTCGCGATCTCGTTGTGCCGAATTTCGCGCCGCAAACGTGCGTCGATACGCGAGAACCAGGAAACAACACGCGGGAGGAGGAAGCTTCGCGCAAAGCACGACGCGCCTTCTCTTCTTCTTTTTTATTTTATCTTTCCTAACGAACATGTGCAGACAAAAGCGCCCGTGCACCGTAAAGAAGAAAAGTATCGCGTAGTAGTACAAAACAATAAAAAAGGCTGCGCACGATAGACAAGCGGGATCGAAGGAGAAGCGAAGAAAGAGATAAAAGATATATATACATATATATATATATATATGTATGTATATGTATGTATATGTATATATATATACACACACATATATACAATACAAATAAATATATATATTTTTGTACCTTATATTCTTTGAGGTATATCGATACACGAATAACCGAGAGATGCTCGCAGTTTCACACGACGCTGCGCGTCCGATCGATCGTGAGTTCGCTATCGTATCATACATCTCTCTCTCTCTCTCTCTCTCTCTCTCTCTCTCTCTCTCTCTCTCTCTCTCTCCCTCTCTCTTTCTCTCCTTCCTCTTCATGATCCTCGTGACCTTTCTATATTGGAACGCAACGATCCATAGATCGATAAGAGTTCGTTACTTGAGGTCATGTTCGGAAGAGTGCGTCAATCGTTTCTATTATTAATCGTGAATCGCCGCAATTGTCGCCGTATGTCTGAACGTCACCCCGACTAAAGATACACGATAATGGTCGAGGAGAGAGAGAGAGAGAGAGAGAGAGAGAGAGAGAGAGAGAGAGAAAGAGAGAGAGACTCGAGTCAATTCCGAAAGCTGTCTCTTAAATTAATTTTTCCCCCTCTGCTCCCGTGCGACTCGTAGGGTATAATCGTAGCCGTTTGTTTTTCTCTTCTCCCCCCCTCTCTTTTTGTGTAACATAATAAGCGGTAAGTGCGAGAAAAATGGAGAATAAAAAAGGGAAGAAAGAACCCGAAGTGGCTATGCGAGCGTTGGCGGTAGCCCTTTTTGCCACCTTTCCGTCACCTCCTTCACTTCTCTCGCTTCCTTTGTGCCGGCCTTCAAGGATAACGCGCGAGATAGAGTTATTTCGTCGGCCGTGAACGACTTCTCGACTTTCTACGATTGAGTCATTTCTAAGCGCGCGATGCCGCGTTTTTCCGACGGATCTTTCTTGCGCGCCGCCGCCGCCGCCGCCGCCGCCGCCGCCTCCGCCGCAACTTTTTGGTGGCCGTCGAAAGCCGAGAGAGAACCCGTCGATTATCCTTTATTCCAGCGGCACGTGTTACGCTATCACGCAGGTCTCCTTCGATTCCCCCTGCGATGTAAGGCAACACCCGCGGATGATGCACTTTGAGCGCTCCCCGAGGGTGAGGGGAGCAAATTGTGTCAGACTCACCGTTGCTCGCGACGCGCGCTCTCATCCTGCAAGAGAGACACGTCAGGCTTCGAGCGAGCACGGTCGCCGAGATATTTTCATAGGTCGGGAACACGCTTGCACGAGCCGTACCCGTGAACGTTACCTCCGACCACTGAAACAGGGCTTAGCCTTAACCTTTAGCGGCCAGCAATAAAGCCCGACACGCGACGTCTCTCTCCTCCACCGCTGGCTCGCGAGTTTTCTACGTCGCCGCCGCCGGCTGATTGTCGATCGTCTCACGATCACGACGACGATGATCGTGAGAGTTCCTGCCGCGGATCTCGCGACGCGTGTGTGTGTGTGTGTGTGGTGTGTTGTAGCACCCTCGTCCCTCGCGAGCACGAGACGACGAAGGGAGACGAGACGTAGAAAGCCCTTCGCTCTCGCCGTCGCTGCGAGCTCCGGCGCTAATCGCGAGATATCGAGGATCGGCACGTGGCATGCTGCACATCTCTTTTGTTTTTGTAGACCTCCGGGCGACTCGGCACTAGGTTACTGGATTCTCTCCTCGGGTTGTTTGCTGCCCCTTCTGCCGGGACGCCCCCTCCATGATGCAATCGCCGGTTGCTCTCTCTCTCTCTCTCTCTCTCTCTCTCTCTCTCTCTTTCTCTTCCCTCTTCTCTTTATCTCCTTTTGATTCTACCGTGAACTTGGCCGACCAGCTGAGGTGCACCTGAAGTGCGGGAAATGCCGTTTCGTCGGCGACCGACTAGCGATGCCGATACAGCGATAGGACTTATTAATCCGTGTCACGCCTTCGGCCGGCTGTTTCTTTTTTTTTCTTACCGTCCCTCCGGCGCCGCTCGATCGCGCTCTTTCCGCGCGCGCGCGCGACGATGTGAGCGATAAGGTCACGCGAACAACGCGCGGGATAAAGTTGCCAATTTGCGCGCAGGACAGACCGGAGCATCTACGTTCACCGACTCGTTTGCATTTGTCGGAGAAGCACCTCGCTCGCGTCAACAAGGTGTCCCGGAACATCTCGGCTTCATTTGAATAGCGGACTTTCCGGACAAGTTCGGAGCTGACTTTTCCTACGGTTGCAATATCGTTTAATATTCAACGCTTCATCTTGTATCGTGACACCCCGAATTCGGATAACGAAATGTTTCCGAGAAAAAAGTCTATTCTAGATCGTGAGATTTTTTACGACCTTCTCTTTGTGCAACTTTAAATTTGTAAGACGATGTATAAGTTATATAAACAACATGGGAGCGAATCCCTATAGACATGACCTTCCTTCTTTTCTTTATTTGCCTCGTGTGTACACACAAAGAACCGAATAAATAGACAAGCAGTTCGAGGAAGTAAACAAAAAACTAAGATAACATGATAATATAATTTAGATTCCCATCGGCTGGAATCGAGCGAGATCCGAAGACGCACTGAGTGCCAGAACATCTTCGAGTCAAGTTCCCGTGTAAAATTACCTCATAATATAATTGATTAAAAATCACCAAATGGCGGTCCGAGTGGAAATGCACATACTTGAGCCGCTGGCGGACAGTCGCGGAGATCCCCAAGGGAAAACGCACGAGGAAATCATTGACGTATCCCAGCCTAAAACTCACCATCTAGCACCAAGAAGTACAACAGACATCAAAGGAAAGCGCGCGAGATGTCTCCCTCCCTCTCAGCTGCTGCGACTCACAAGTAAACCTCGGGAAACGTCAGACGCCGATATGTTTCCAATTTTTTATAGTTATTTTTTATGTCAAAATATGAAGAAATCTGTTATCATTTTTAGCTTAAATTAATTTTTTCAATTTTTTCGAAATTTCTGAAGTTTTTGTTCATTTCTTATTCATTTTTTACCAGATTTTGACATTAAAATGAGCTTGTTTGCTGGATAATGAGCCGAAAGATTACCCATCGTCGAATGTAGCGTAAAACTGAACACTTTTTCAACAACGACGTCAGCCATATTAGATCCGCCATTTTGAATTTTACAAAATGGTTCTGATTCATAATCGGCGACATGTGCGTGCAAGTTTCAACAAATCGGATATATATATTTTTAAGAAATATTATTTTAAATATGTATAAAATAGTGTATCTGTGCAAAACTACAAAAATTTCGAAAAAATTGGAAAAATTAATTTAAGCTAAAAATGATAACAGATTTCTTCAT